TCTTTTGCTGAAGAAGAAGACAAGCATATTAATAATTATAGGTTGGGGGTGAGGGGATTCCCTATTTTCCCAAGATATGGTTCTCATTGTTTATCTTATTCACATGAGGTTTGGGGAGTGAGGTATAATCATTCTTCTTTTGCAGAAACTACGGTTCTTATTTCTGCAAGAGGCTTTAGGGGGAAGGTCGGTAATATCTCTGAGACGGCTTCTACCCTGTTATCTATTTGCCCACTCCCTAATGTAGATCCCAGAATGCAATAATTGGTATTATCAAGGAGAACGGCCTAAGATATTGTTTAATCATACAGACTTTAAGATAGTGGATTAGAGCCCTCATGGAGACTTTATTAATAAATTTTCTAAACTACCTTTAAGATGGCACATACATAATGGTTCTTTGAAAGGAACTGGCAATGAAACTGTTATTTGGCATGACGGAGTATTAACCCCTCCTGTGCCGCATTTGTTGGGAGATACAAACTCTCAAGGTTGTTTATGGAAATTATTAGCATCTGGGGATCCAATTAAAACCTGGATTGGCAATATGTCTATCAATATTTCTAATACAGTTGCACCTATTAGTGTAAATCTTCATATTAATGCTACTCGGTATATTCAAGCTTGTATGAAAATTCCTTATGTTATTTTATCAGGAGATATTACTTGGAATTCTAGTACAGGGGTTTTGATTTGTTTTTTAAATTGTACTTTACAACATTGTGTAAATTTTACCTGGTGGAAAACTTTTAACCAAACCCGAGACAGTTTGTATCTTGTTAAAGCATGTCCTGGGATTTGGTTACCTGTCAATTTAACTCGACCCTGGAGCGAATCTGTGGGAGTAATGCAGACCTACAATGCCTTGCTTGAATTGACCCATCGAATGAAGAGAATGACTGGACTGATAATAGCCACAGTGATTGGACTTGGAGCTGTGGCGTGAGTTGCTTTGCAGCAAGAAATACAAACAGCAGACTTTGTTCGAGGGTGCCATAAAGATTCTCATCTGTTGTGGCAACAACAACATGACATTGATGCTCAAATAGCTGAAGACATCGCCAACTTACAACAGTGTTGTGGATGGGAGATCAGACATCTATGTTAGCTACTCGAGTTATGCTTTGAGTGATTGGATTACTTATTTTTGTATTACTCCTGTTCCGTATAATGTTAGTAAGGATTGGAAAGACTAGAAATTTAGTAATTGGACATAAAAATATATCCTTAGAAATTCAGTTATTGGAATATCAAATTGGTGAAACTTTCAGTAGACAATTACCCAAACTTACTAGTAATGAAATTTTTCAGGGAATTGCTAAGAGGCTGTCTTCTATTAATCCTTTGGAACAAGCAAAAGCTTTCTTATCTTTAACCATTGGTAGTGTTATTCTATTAATCATTAAGGTGATGGTTGAATTATTGGCCTTAAGTACAAAGTTACGTGAAGTACACCTGTGTACTTCGCCCCCTCCCCAAACGGGGGTATGAGGCAGAGGTTGGATAGCCAGAGACGGGTAAGATTGAGCCCGAGTCTCTCAACCTAAGACAGGTCATGGTCGCCTGGAGGCCTGTGGCTGATGACGGGTAAGAGTGATTTCGGGACTCGACAACCTAAGACAGGCACAGTCATCTGCCGGCGTTTTGAGAAAAGACGCCTTGTATGAATAAAAAAGGGGGAGATGTTGAA